ATCTTTTTCAATTTGTAATAAAATTGTAGAAAAAACCAGAATCACAAAATGCACAGATATAATATTTAAACAAGAGCAAGATTCTATTGGGTAAATCCAACATTTTTATTTATTAATAAGAACCAAAACTCATCAAATTTTAGGGATTGATTGGTTCTTTCTCTACCACCCACAAACGATGTGTTGTGGTTGCTAACGTTTAAAACCAATCATACAAAACGCTTTAAACCGTTCTAGACTGTTCGAAATCGCTGAATTTAAAAAGTTTCCAGTAGCGAATAAATTAAAAAAATATTATCAAACCCCTATATATTTAACGTTAATTCTCAAAACCTTTATTTTTTTTTTCAATTCAAAATCATGGCGTCAATCCAAATTAAAGAATGACAAGATACAAACGTAAGTATTGTAATAATATTATTAATCAAGAAGATCTAAGAATTCAAAACATTTTTTTTATTTAGTTTGTCATATTTTTTTTTGTAATTTGTCATATGACATGATGCCGTTTTATTTTATGAACCAAATGCATGAATTAATAAGCATTTAACAATGAATTTGTTTTTTGAATTATTATGTAAAAAAATTTATATGGTTTTTATTATTAATTTTTTTTATATATTTTATCATAATAACTTAAATATTTGTTTTTTTATACTTTATATAGTTATAAATTATATTTATTTTAGTCATTTTATATTTATTTTATTAGTGGCTTTTCTTTTTACCCGTGTGTTTAACAAGATAAATACTTTTAATTTGTTAACCAAAACAAAAAAAAAAAGAACACAAGATGCAATAATGACGATGAAGTTCATAAGCGACAAGAAAATGACAACTAAATCCACTAATATGTAACGTAGACAGAGAAACAGATTCAAATACCAAGCAACTACTTTATCTTTGATATATAAGTGTAACTTATTTAAATAAAAAATAAATAGCTACAATACTAAACTTGTAAAAGAATATTTCAATGGCGTTTTGCATTTTTACCCTCTTTGGTATGTAAAATGGTTGTGACAAATATATATCAGCCATTCTTTTTGAAATAACAAATGTTTTTTGACACCAATGTTTTAATTCTACCTAAATCACTTTAGTTTGGTTGGCAACAAATATGTTTTGTGTAACTAATGTTAAATTGTGTCCTAATGTCTCATAGGATATACATACAGAAAATGTGTGCAACCCACTAAGATAAAAAAAAATGTACTATACAGACATCATATTAATTGAGGCACATAATTAGATCCAAATGTAGATATGATTCGCTAAGTTCATGGGTTCTTTATCAAGAGTTTTCATTTTTTAGTGAGAATAAACATGTAACCAGCAAAAACAGTCTATCTTACCTTTTTTTATTTTTTCTTTTTGGAGGTATTTCTTTTTTTCTTTTTGGAACCTAATTTAGTAATCATGAAGAAAGAAAACGTGTTGCCAAGAGTAAATATTTCTCCGCAAGTTATCTTTTAATAAATAGTTTTATAATTTATAGAAGAAATAAATGGAGATGAAAGAAAATTAGTCATAGGTCAAGACCATTTCAAACTCGGTTGAACTATCTTAATCTTTTTCAACTTGTAATACATTTTTCAGGAAATAACATAAATAGAAGAATTACAACTCTACACTTAATCTATCCGGATTAGATGATTATATATAACTTGAGGAATATTTTCCTTTTGATCTTAATAAAGAACTTAATAAATTAATATTAGCTTCTCTTATTCTTCTTCGGCGTCTCTTGGGACACAAGGCAATGGGATCATCATCATAATGGATTCTCGTCCTTTTTAGGCTTTCCTAAATATCACTTCTCGTTGAGAAAAATCTCTAATGGGATTTTACCAAGAACTCGACAATGATCAAGAAATGAGACTGATTTTCAAATCTTTCTCTGTTTGGATCCCATGGAACGACACTCTTTAGAGAATGTGAGTCTCTTCGACTCATAAAGAAGAAAAAGAGAAAAGGGACAGATAAAAACAAATGCATATGTATTTTATATATAACTCATCAGAGTTTAGAGACAGCAATTATTTATTTACAAGAAAGTCTCACAGGACTTAAATAGTTCAAGAAAAGTAAAATAATTAACTTGTCTATATATCACTCGTCATCAGAGTTTAGACACAGACCAACAGATCTTTATTAGAAAAGTAAAATTAACCTATTTTTGCGGCGAAAGCAACGATTTTCTTCATAACTTCTTTTAGCTTCTCGTAGTACTTTTCCAAATCCATTTTCTTTTCCTCCAGCACCTTCTTCGGTTGAGACTCTTCATAATTTCTCACTAACTCCGCGCATTTGAACTGAAACTGATTTCGTGCAAACTGCAGGTCACCAACTAGTGTATTAAAACGATCATGCAGGTTAGTGTTTCCAACATTAGCCATTATTCACAAAGATTTCAAACGAAAAGAAAGATAATAAAATTATAAACTGTGAAAGATTTTTCTCTGTGTTGGAATGTAATACGTCTTCTAAACACCTCTATTTATAGCTGAAAGAAAGCGAAAATGTTGAGTTGCGTACTTAACTCTCCATCTACGCCACTAACACAAACTTACAACTTCTCTCTTAAGTCTATTGTTAATTAAGGCAATAATCTCACTTTAGAGTTTAGAGGTTACGTTCTTTCTATTTAGAGGTGCCTTTGGGAAAGAGTCATGAAGGTTCGTTTTTTTTAAAGTTCATTTTTAATAAAATTTCTAATGAAAATAAACGGTGAGAACAAAAAATGAATATAGATTCTAAGTAACTTTTACCCCAAATTTCAATTCAGCCCATCGATTAAACACCAATTTCGATTGCGGTTTTGAACTAATCGTACTCTATTTGCACTACAGGAAAACAGTCGTTTTGCGAGGGAAACCATCCCTCGCAAATTTGCGAGGGAATTGCAAGTAATTTGCTACGAAAATGACGCGCGTCGCACTTCCGTCGCAAAATTTGCGAGGGAAAGTTTCCTCGCAAAATTGCGAGGGACTTACGAGTACTTTGCGAGGAACAATATATTCTGTCGCAATTCTCCCGCACATACCTCGCAAATCTTTACCCTAAACCCTAAAATACATAAAAGTGTTTTGCGATCTTTGATTTGTATTTATAAATGTGAATCTAGGAGACCATATAATCAGACAAGTTGAATATATGGTGATGCATAAAAAAATGTTGTATAGGTTTCAATATTAACATTTTATTTTGAAAATGTTATAAACATTGATTCATATTATATAAAAACATAAGATCATCATTGACGTATTTGAGAAAAATGCACATTCGGACGAATTCGAAGTATATGATGAGAAAGTAGATTCTAATGTAGATAATTAACTTCCTAATGATTCAAAAAAATGAATCCGAATGATTTTTAGTAGTGTGTTGTTGTTTTTTTCAAATTGATTCTATTTTGCGAGGGTTTTGCGAAGGATACTAGTAATTCCCTAGCAAAACTAAACCCTAAATCAAGAGTTTGCAAGGGAATTGCATGGCTTTCGTAGCACTTCCCTCGCAAATCTTTACCCTAAATCCTAATTTATTTAAGATATTTAGTCATGTTTTTTTTTGCTGAGGGACTTACTAGAAATAGGAAAATGAAAATGAATAAGACATGTTTAATAATATTTAAGCATGTCATTGTGTTTTTTAAAAATCCTAATGAAGACTTTGCGAGGGATGATTTGATTTAAAAATCTATCTCATTACTCTCAAATCTTTCGCACAATTCTCAATAATGCATCACTAAACCTTATACCCTAAACCATTTACGAGGGATTTGCTACGGCCTCTTGCAATTCACTCGCAAAAGTCCTAAAAAAATTAGAAACAATTTTCAAGTTGCCTTCCAAAATATTTTAAACACAATTCCTAAAACCATAAACTCTAAAAACAAAATCTAGTTACAATAATATACCCAAAATCTAAGATCCAACACTTATAAAAACATTATAGTTTTTCAGGTCCAATATTTTTTCAAACCCTAACCCCAAATCTTAAACCTTAACTCCAAACCCTATACCTCAAACCTTAACCCCAAACCCTACACTACAATATATTTGTCACCAACTATATATTAACCAAATATAACTCTTCACAAACAACTTAATTAATTTTATATATATGTTATTTTATTTTTTTTCAAAACTAAAATCCAATACTTAGAAAAATGAAAGTTTTCAAAAAAATCAAAATTAAACTCACAAACTATAAAACCAAAGTTGATAATAAGTGATGAAATATATCAGCAAATTAATGACTTTGCAAATTCATCAAGATATTTTTAAAAATTTAATTAACCCTTAAAAGTTTTAAATCTAGTAATTTTTTTAACATAAAACACCAAAAATCTAATCTAAGAATTTATTTTCTACTAAAAAGGTATAATCCATCACTTCAAAAAAAATTAAATTCAAATTAAATCTTTCATTTTTCATGAGAGAATATTTTTGCATTTTTGTAACTTTTTATATAGGGGCTTTTGCGAAAATGCCCCTTTTTCAATGCCACTTTTAAAAAATGTCCCTTCTTTAAAACCTTATAAAAATGTTCTTAAAAATATAAGATTTACCTAAATATATATGTAACATTATTAAAACATACACAAACTACATTTCTATGTATCTAAAATCTTATAAATACTTTATAAATACCTTATAAATGCATTTTAAATACCTTTAAAAACCTTTAAAATATCTTGTAAAACCTTTGAAAAACCTTAAAAATTCTTTAAAATAACTTGTAAAACTTTTAAAAACACCTTATAAAACCTTATAAATACTTGGATCGAGTCTTCAAGTAGTAGTTACAATCCATAAGTACCTTATAAACCTAATAAAACTTTATAAAAATTTCAGATTTAAAAAAGGGCATTTTTTAAAATAGACATCTAAAAGGGGCATTTTTGAAAAAGAACACACCAAAATGGGCATTTTTAACAATTTCCCTTTTATATATCCAAATTACAGTTTATTTCAATAAAATAATGATTAAGAAGAGGAAAAAATATTGAGAGTTTCTGATTGGCTAATATATTGAGACAAGGATTGTACTTTTCCACCGTTGATAGCAAAAGATCAAGGGACCAAATTTTCTCCTTCTTTTTCTCCTTCTTCTTCTTGGTCTCGTTTGTTTCTTCAAGCTTTCTCATTTTCCAAACCCAAATCAATTAACTCTACCAATGGCTTCTCCTTAATTCTTTCACCTTCTTCCCAAGATCTAAAAGCTTTCGCCGTTCACGACCACCACATCTTGAAGGTTCGGCCGTCGCTCACACCACATCTGGAAGGTTCGGCCGTCGTTCACCATAACACATTTCAAAGGTTCGGTCGCCGTTCACCATCAACACCACCACCATTTCATATTAGATAGTTTTGTGGTTCTGTTTGTGTTTCTGATTTGGATCTAGTAAATATTGACTACAAACAATTGGAATCTAGGGATTAAGGGTATATTGCTAGAGACGGTGACAGAGGAGAGCGGCAGCGGAGGAGAACGGCGGTGGAACGGTGACAGAGGAGAGCGTTAGCGGAGGAGAATGGCTGCGAAGGAGAACGGGGTGGAGGAGTACGGCGGAGGGGTGCAGCAGAGGGCAAGCTTTGAAGCTTTTTAATTTTCTAATTTTTTTCACTAATTAAGTTTGTATTGATTAATTGTAATCAAAATTAATAAACAAATAATTTTGATATTTTGATTAACAACTAATAATCTAAAAAGAAAATCATGTTTGATATTTTAGTTTTATATATAATAGTAAAAATTTTAATAGAATTAAATTAAAAATAATATATATATATATAGTATGCATATATATAACATAATTTAAATTAAAAAATCAATTGTTTAAAAGAATTGTAGTTGCAAGACATTTGCTACCGTAAAAATTCCTCGCAAATTGCGCGTGTTTTGCGAGGGAAAAGGTTCCTAGCAAAATTTGCGAGGGAATTGCAACGTTAACCGATTTGCGAGACACGAATTGCGAAAAACTGTTGTTTCTCGCAAATCCCTTGCGAATGTCGTTTTGCAAGGGATTAGCAAGGAATCCTTCCCTCGCAAAACGCGTGTTTTCTTGTAGTGTTGGTAATATATAGAATAATTGATGTGTATATTAAATCAGCCACTCTTCTTTATTAATGAAATTTCTTTTTACACCAATGTTCTAGAATATACTACTCATACTAGGATATGAGGGTTAAGTTTTTTTTTTTTTATATTTAATTTTTATGAACTGATGAATTTTTTTGTGTATAGTATTTGTTGTTGTTGTTGTTTTTGTTGTTGTTGTTGTTGATTCTAAAAATATGATTGATAGTCTACGGGTTTGTAGTCAGTCGTAAATTTCCGAGATTATGTAGTCTAATGTTATTTTGTCTTTTATATGGTTTTCTTCAATTTTTTTTTTTTTATAAACTTATGATATTTTTTGTTATATAGATTTTTGGTATACCGCGGTAAATATATATATATATATATATATAAATATATGTATATATTTTGTTATAAACTTATGAGATTGTTGTATTAATGTTTTATGTTTTATTGGTATAACTTATGTTTGATTTTGGGTACATTGCAGGTAAATTTTATTTATAACTAAAAATATAAATTTTAAGTTATATTTATTTTGTTAATATTATTTGTTTTATTTAGTGTTTAAGATTGTATAATTGTATTTTGATTGTTAATTTTAGGGTTTCACCCGTGGTATACCGTCACGTATTAATATTGACCAAAACCTGTCCCACCATATAACCTTGTCCTGTGAAATAAAAAAGTCATTTTGTTATTTTTCTTTTTAATAATACTTTTATTTAAAAGACATATAATTCAAGTTAATTTAATTTTTTTTATTTTAAATAGATTACACAATCACATAACAGTTTGATTCAAAATATAATAAGGTATTTCATGAAATAAATAATTTATTTTACTCGAATAAATAATTAATTTTACTAATAAATAATTTGGCTAGATATTATTGTTTGTATTATTGATAGACAATTCTTCAGAGAAGTTGAGTAAGGTTTAAAAATCGCTTTAACTTTATGATATTGATAAGTCTAATATTATTTTGTCTTCTATTTACTTCTTTTTCATAATAATTATTTGTGTTTTATGGTAATAGTATTATTAGTTTTATTTGGTAAAATTTTTTTATTATGAAATTGTAATCTTAATCTACTTAAAAAAAATAAGCCCACTAAGTAATATTGAAGCCGAACATTATAAGCCCAATAGAAGTATTTACGTTTTGGAAAAAAAAAATTGATGAAACTAAATTTTGGATCTAAAAATAAATCATTCCTCGTCAATAAAAAAAAAAGCAGACGAAAAAAAAAATCTGCAAAACCTCTCGAAAGCGATTTTCTTCAACCTCTCACCGATTTTACCACCAAACCGTGATTCTTTTCTGTTTGAATTACATGATCCGATTATAGTCGGTTATACATGTTCATAGCTTCGCCAGTTGCTCGGATTTGAATCTAATTTCAGGGCAACGTTTCACGATACGCACAGACCAGAAGAGTCTAAAGCACTTGCTGGAACAAAGGTGTAAGTAATTTTGACTCTTCGCTTGTAATTTTTGATTGAATAAGTAGCTTCTGAACCAGTAATTGATGGCTGTAAATTTAATTTGTTTACAAAAACGAATTGAATTTGGATTTGATTAATTTGGATTTTAATTTGTTTACAATAACTCATATGACAAAACATTCTTCTCCTTTAGACTCTTCTTCAATCCTATTTATATATATTCATCCTTCTGAGTCATTCTTCAATCTTATTCATTGATCTGAGTTATTTTGCGTGCTCCTTCAAATCTTGACAATGGTAGTGAACGTTGATGCAGAGTACCTCAAAGAGATAGAGAAGACTCGTAGAGACCTTTGAGCTCTCATCTCTTCCAGAAACTGTGCTCCCATTATGCTCCGTCTTGCGTAAGATCTTTGCTCTCAGAATCATTCTCCGTTTTCCTTTCTTGTCTTAATCTTTCCAAATGCAAATTATTGTGTGCATATAGATGGCATGATGCAGGAACCTATGATGCCAAGAAGAAAACCGGAGGTCCCAATGGATCTATCAGGTTCAAGAAAGAGCTAAACCGTCCACACAACAAAGGTTTGGAGAAGGCAGTCGCTTTTTGTGGTGAGTTTATGATCAAACCTTGACTCCGTTGTTTAGAGAGTGGAAATGAACGCCTATTTATAGAGTTTGGATAGTTAGTATGTTATAGGGTTTAGAGAATATATAAAAATCTTGATGACCAAGCATTTCGTATAATTCGAGATCTTTAAATTGGGAAATACAGAGAATATGCTAGGGTGATGCTTAAACAAATTAGGATAAAATCTTTTGGTTATGAAGCAATTTCCTTTTCGATAAGGTGAAATGAATATCGAATCATATGTAGGAAACAAATGATAAATGTAGCATTAAAATAGGAAACAATTTGCCTTACGAAATCAATTTGTTATATCTATATATATTCTCCATATCTTTCAATTATGAGAAACTAAATGTTTTTTGCCTTGAATATAGGAAGAAACAAAAATGGAATGATTTGGTGAATAAATTTCGGGTAGATAATCACAAAGAATGTAAGATCCGATTGTCTCCAAGTCGGGTCGAAATAAATGATTTCCGGGTCAAATTTTAACCCGATTAGGGACCCCAAAAAGTGTTGCAAAAATGTATAGTAGATTATTCAGCCACTGTTCGTTTACTACATAAAATGTGATACTAATGCCTATTATGCATACCATAAGTGTGTCTAACTTCTAAAATAAAATAAAACATGTTATGTATACTAATACATATATCAAAATTTTAAGAGATATATCACATGGTATTTAGTATATATAGGTGAACTTCTGAACAAAAAAAAAAAAAAAAAAAAAAACAACACTGAACTTTACCTCCATTTTAATTCATCGATTGAAGACAATTTCAATGGCGGTTTGAACTATTGTACTCTCTTTGGCATGTAATCATGGTTATGATTACTAAATCAGTCAATTTAATACTAGTGGATTTGCTTTTACTTCAATGTTCTATAATATTCTACTCAGATTAAAACTGGCATGTGTTGGCATCAAAAATATTTCCAGTAAAAATTGTTGTTACTACACAAAGTGTGTACTAATATATAATGAACATACAAAAAACGTGAGCTGACTGCTAAGAGAAAAATCTATACTAATATATATGTATCAAAATCGCCTTTTACATCTTGGGTTAACAAGATAGAATGTTTGGTTGCCAAAAAAAAAATTAAAAAAAAAGAATAGACCCGACCTCTGACTTTGAGCATAAACATTTGAGGTTGTGTTTGATCAATGACGATGGAGCTCAATAAGCTACAACAATTTTGATAACTAAAGTCATTTATATGTAAAGCAGGCCGAGAAGCAGATTAAAAACAAAACCAAAATGTGGTATTTAGATCAATTATTATTGATATAATGCGTTAAGGTTTGGATCTGTTGTCAAGATTTTGATCTTGCTACTATTCACTAAAATTTAACACCCAACAACAATGATATATATACTTATTAGGGTATTAATTAAGCACCCATTACCTATTGAGTTTTTATATACTGTATTAATAAATAATAAAATATAAATGTTTACTTTTTTCTGCATTAGTTAATTGACGCACCTAGTTAGATCCACATGTAGATATGATTCGATAAAGCCCATGGGTCTTCTATCAAGACTTTACTTCTATTAGTGAGCATTAACATTTAACATACTAAACAATTTGTTACATTCTCTATCTGAAAATATTTTTATCACAGATTATTAGGAGACGTAACTTGGGGTGATAAACAAAACAGTAAGTAGTGATTATGACGAAGGAAAACGTGTTACCAAGAGTATTTCTTTCTCGGATCAAAAATTATTTTTGAATTTTCTCCACAAGTTCATTTATTTGTTGTAAAGAATTTGTAATTTTCAATGGACATATAAGGAAATGAAAGAAAAACAGTCTTTAGTTTATTTTTTATCCCCAATTCAATGCCTTGGTCAAGACCATTTCATTGTCGGTCTGACTATTTTAATCTCTTTAATATGTAATATTTATATTGTAGGATTAAACATAATTACAAGATTTTAAACTCTAGACTTAACTTATACAGATTTTTGATGATATATAATGTATATATAACTTGAGTAAATATATCTTTTTTAAAGGGTTTCCTATGTAGCTGATTTCTGAGACATTCTCTTATGGGAATTTTCAAAGAACACAACTTTGGTAAAAAAAAATGAGAATGATTTTCTAATCTTTCTCTGTTTTGATCCCAATAAAATAGACTCTTTAGAGGATGTGAGTCATATAGAAGAAGAAGAAAAGAAAGGCACACATTTGAACCAACCATGCATATTCAAATATAATTAAAACTCATAAGAGTTTCCCAATTATTTACTTACAAGAAAGTCTCACTGGACTTAAATAGTTCAAGAAAACTAAATTAATTAACTTGTCTAACACTCCTCACAAGCTTTTAGACACATAGAACCATCTCAATTATTTATTTATCTATACGAGGAGCTTGACTGGAAAAGTAAGAGTAACCTATCACTGAGGGGTTTCCTTCATAACTTCTTTCCTCTTCTCAAGTTCTTCCAACTTCATTCTCTTATCAGTTAGCTTCTTCTTGGACTTTTCAATGGCACCAAAATCAGGTCGACCAATTGAATGATTAAGTAGCCCGTCCTCCCTCACGAGGTTCTTAATTTCATCCTTCAGCTGCGTAATTTCACGACACAGCTCTTCAAAACGAGTAGACCCACTAGTGTTTCCAACATTAGCCATTTTTCACAAAGATTTCAAACGAAAAGAAAGATAATAAAATTATAAAACTGTGAAAGATTTTTCTATGTGTTGGAATGTAATACCTCTTCTAAACACCTCTATTTATAGCTGAAAGAAAGTTAAAATGTTGAGTTGCATACTTAACTCTCCATCTACGCCACTTACACAAACTTACAACTTCTCTCTTAAGTCTATGGTTAATTAAGGCAATAATCTCACTTTAAAGTTTAGAGGTTACGTTCTTTCTATTTAGAGGTGCCTTTAGAAAAGAGTCATGAAGGTTCGTTTTTCTGAAAATTCATTTTTGGTAAAATATCCAATGAAAATAAATTGTGAGAAAAAAAAATGAATATAGATTTTAAGTAACTTTTACCCTAATATCAATTCAGCCCATCGATTAGACAACAATTTCAATGGCGGTTTTGAACTAATCTTACTCTATTTGGTATGGAATAATGGCTTTGATTACTAAATCATCTACTCTTTTTTTATTAATGAATTTTCTTTCTACACCAATGTTTTAATATACTACTCATATTATTCAGCCACTGTTTGTTACTACTACTACGTTACATATCTGCAACAAGTTCTTTGGTTTGCTAACCAAACTATCTTCTTATTAAACCCACGAGATTAAAAAAATGATTTTGATATATGTGTTATTACTAGTTACTAGGACTCCGGACCCCCGCGATGTCGCGGGAGAAAATATTTCAAAAATCATTTAAAAAAATATCAAACAAAAATTAATAATAACGATAGTAAATGATTAAATGTTATAAAAATTTATAAAATAAACTTAAAGTTGCAATTTTTCGTTAAATAAAATAAATTTTGTAATGGTTCAACTAAACGGTTGCAACCATTTTATTAAAGGTTACGATAAAAAGATGCAACCGTAAAATATATTTACTTAGATTGCAACTTTCTCAAAACACATAACATAAAGTATATTTTTAGTTTAAAAATAAATAAATAAAATATTGCGATATATCAAAAGTTGTAACGGTTCGTCAAGTTTGTCAAATAAACTAAAGATTACAACGGTTTGTAAAACAAAACCAAAAATTGCAATGATTGGTCAAATAAACCAAATATTTCAACGGTTCAATTAAACGATTACAAACTTATTTAAATATATTTTAGTAATTAAAAATTAAAAATATTAATTTATAAAAAGTTATACCGAGAGACGCGACGGTAGTTAATTAGATGTTATAGCAATCTTATTATTGTTTATTTTCTCGACCGACATACGCATATTGTGAATTTCTCTACCTAAGTGTTTGGTTAGAGTGAGTTGAAGCTCGATTGTCAAACAAACCATCAACTTATAATGCATTTATATTTATATTGATGAATTAATTGAGTAAAAAAATTTATTCCTTTAATATTCATGTGATGAACTGGAATCATTGTTTTTTTCCTAATAGCGGAGATTTTTTCTGGATTATTATATCATTTGAAACGGTTCATTTGACGTCTTCCACATTTAAAGCGACCAACACATATGAAAAATATAGTAGATAGCCATATTGCTTGAGGATGTCTTCTCATATTTGGACTTTGTAATAATGTTAATGCAACATCAATATTTTGTTGTATACAACCCATATATATTGCCTTAAGGTAGAAAGCATCATTGTTATCATATGTAATTGTTAAATAAAAAAATTCACTGTATAATCCCCTCAATTCTGAGAAAAAAAATTGTTGGCATCTTCATTAACTTTTTATATTTAAAATTGATTAAAACTTTTTCATTTTCAAAATCATTCCAAAAATCTTTGGTTAAATGAAGAATTAGAAGTTTTTCTTCAATATTAAAAAAGTGTATGTTTAGAAATAATTTAGACAGTATAGAATTTGATTCCATTTGACATATAATTTCTTTTGAATTCATCGTAGAACAAATAATCGTTGTAGCAAGACAAAAAATTGAAATTTCGAAAAGAAAGACAATATATAGAGTTGAAAAGACACGATTTTACAACTATTCGATAAGTCCATTACGTAGACGAATGTGTCCGTTACAGCTTTAATGTGTGGGGCTCATTTCAATTACGTATGTCCAAATTATTTAAACCTCTATATTATTGTTTTTCCATGATATCACGTAAATGTTAAATGAATGATATAATTAAGGAGTTATACTACAAAATATATCCATATGTAAACTATGAAATAAAACCAATTTTATATGTAGTTTACTGGTTTACGTAAAAAGAAATTCAATAAAACAGCATGACCGTACAAAAATAACTATAAGAAAAACAATCATAAATATTTAAATGAAAGGTTGCAATAAAAAGACGCAACCGTTCAGATTTGCAAATGGTATTTATTGAAAACGACATAACCGTAAAAAAATAACCGATTAAAACGAAAATTACGATAAAAAGACGCAACCAAAATAACCGATTTAAATGAAATGTTGCGATAAAAAGACGCAACCATTCAGATGTGCAAATGGTATTTATTAGATTGCTATTATATATAGATTAGTACATGTACATAACATGATTTTATGAAGCTCAATCAGAAACAACTAAATTCACTAATATGTAACGTAGGCAGAGAAACATATTGAAAATAATAACATTGTATTTAAATCAATAGAAATGTAATTCGTCGAATTTTTGAATTTATTGTCAAATTTTAATTTTATTACTGATCAGTAAAATAACACCCTAATGGCATTTTTTTTTTTATCCCCAATTCAAATCATCGGTCAAGACATTTTCTAATGAATATTTGTGTTCATATACATCCCCGATTCACTAAACACAGATCATTGTTTTTAGTTAATCCAAATATGCTTTGTAGTAAATGAGTCTACTTTATGAGCCTCTCTTATCTTCCAAGATCAAGGCTTCTTTTAGCATGTTAGCTGAATCTTCGACCATATTCAGCTTTGAAAGAGCCACTGCCTGAAGGTAAAATGCAGTTGGCCAGTCGGAGTAAACACATTGTGCTTGCATCGCGTCTCGAAGTGCTGCATCTGGTTGGTCGCAGAAGAGATAGCACATGCTTCTTCGTGCATAAACAGTAGGAGAGATCATGATTCCTGTTTCTATGAACTGAAAAATCAAAAAAAAGTATTAGGAAAAAGTGGATAAAATTTTCGAGTATCGATTGTTTTTTGGGCCATGCCTGAGTATATTTTTCGATAGCAGATTCGAAATTTTTGTTCCGAAAAGCCGAATCGCCTTGTTGTCTAGTGTTGCACACATCTTTTATCTGTTGAGCCCATTGCTGGAAAGAGAGCTCGCAAGTAACTTCATCTTCTTTGTACTCCATTGCTTCAAGAATCTGATGAAGAGCTTCAAGGTCCTTTTGGTGACATGCATCGTAAATTAAAGATTTCGGGCGTTCCATTTCAAGCTTTTCAAGTTTTGAAATGCCAAGCATAGTATAGGACGGAACATCTAGTTTTTGTTGAAGTGTAGCGATAACTGAGATAATATCTCTAATTTCTGGCCGTTCATTAGGGTTATTGTGAAGGCATTTGGAAGCCAAATCAAACACCATGGCTGCGTCTTCCTCAGGATAGTTTCCTTCTAAATGTGAATCCATCAAGACAATTAAGTTTTGCTTTTGAATTGTATCGACCGCCTGAGTACAGAGAGTGCAATAAAAGACATGTCATTGTGGAAATAGAAACCAAACCAATTTGCAAGGTTACTAGATAAATTTGTGTAACTCACATGACTTGGAGGAATGTGTTTCCCACTAAGAAGATCCAAAAGAAACGTCCCAAAGCTGAAGACAACACTCTCTGGAATTAACGTACCTACAATATTTATATACATCATGTGCCACAAAAAGGTACAAAAGTCTTACAATGAACAATTATATTGTCACATCATTCATGTATTAACGTTTTAAGCGCAATAAAGAGTTAATAAGATAGACCCGTGATCCATTTGCTAAGTGGATCAAATCATTGAAGTTCATAATTCATCAAGCATACAAAGTAGAAGACAAGTTACGGAAATGCTTGTTGGACAAGCAATCTCTTAAATTATTATATTTTCTTTTTCATTTTTTTGGCACAACAAATGGGAAGATGAAAATACTAGTGAGAAACTGACTAATAAGATCATATAAGTTTCGTAAGAAGACTGTAGAACAAAGACGTTACCACTTCTAAGATATTCGGGCGGTGTATAAGCAAGATTTGTGCTGAAGTTTTTGCCATCTTTGCTATTTTTCATCCATCCAAAACATGAAAGCCGAGGACTTCCATTCTGCATGACAACAACAACAACATCAACACCAAAGTTTTTTTTTATATAAAAACCATTAAATATGTGCAATGGAATTACCTCATCAAAGAGAACCCTACAAGTATTGAGATCATGGTACAATTTGAGTCCACTCTGTCTACAATATTCTAAAGCTTCAGCTACATAAAGTGCAACTCTCAATCGCATAGCCCACTCCATGGTTTGTTTCTCCCCTGTAATTCGAGGCAATAAAGGCAAAAAAAAACTCAGGTACTTGTGGACCAAGTAAAGACAAGAAGGTAACGTTTGGGGTATGATCATACAATGAAATAGATGTTTGGTTAGGCTTTGATTAGGCATGTACTCCGATACAAGCAACCTTTCATCTCCATCACAACAATAACCTATCAAATTCACCAGTCTTACGTGCCTCAAATTCCCGATAGCCCGCGCTTCTGCCTGCATAGGAGAGCAATTAGTATAACCTTTTGGATACAAGAATTTGAGATTTGAGCAATTTCAAACACATACAGCGAATTGTTTAGGATCAGGCCATGTTGTTTTGGAGAATTTTTTAACGGCGATAAGACGTTTATCTTTGTCACTCTTAATGCAGCCTTGATAAACAACGTTTGGTTCTTGATCAGAACAAACCGATACGACAGCGTTTTTGTTGAAATTGTTCGTAGCGTCACGAAGAACCGATGCCGAGAACTCGGAGAAGTCCGGCACGGCGGAAAAAAGCCATCCCCTGCCTTCATTAACGTTAGGATGACGGTGGCGATTACCGCGTTTGGCTCCTTTTCCACGGCGGCCGGAAATATCGTCGGAGGGGATTTTCTTGTCATGCAATGACGACGGTTTCAAGAATGACGATTGACAACAACCCATGAGTCAACTCGTCATTAACATTAACGGCGTTTCTTTTAGTTTTTTTTTTTGTCTCCGGCGGCGTTTTGACGTCACCGTCGTCGCCGAGAGAGAGAGAAAAAAGATTGGTCACTTTGTCATCTCCTCTTCTTTCGCTTTTACAACTTCCTCAATTCCTACGTACGTCTTGCAATGAATCGTTGGTTTCAACAATATAAGGGTACTCTTGTAATTTTCATCTAACTGAACATTTCAATTCACCAATTTCTCTCGCTCGATATTTTATGTTTTAATTTGTTTAAGAAAAGAACTTGAGTCAATTAGATCATTATCCCACGTTTTTATAACCAAATATTCCCAAAAATATATGGTTGATTTTTATTAAATATAGTTTCATAAACTCTTATAATCCCAGATTCATTTCCTTTATAATTTTATATTAACTTGACAATTTTCACATTTCTATTGGTCGAGTGACTGTGCTTTTTTATCTTATGAAGGATTTATCTTAAAGTTTCATTGATATGCTCTTTTAACAAATTATAAAGTTCTTGTACTTTTGCCACTTTTCACATTTCTATTGGTTAAATGATACATACCTTATTGTATAAGGAATTTAATTAAAAAAACTGTAGGAAAGAAAAAGTTTTATTTTTGCTCTTTTAAAATTAAAATTTGTAATTAATAGGGATTTTGCCAATTTTTACATCTCTATTAGCTAAGTATAGCTATTACTTTTAAAGTAAAATATCTTATAAGATATAACACAAGTAATAGCTTATAAGATATTTTACTTGTGTTATATCTTATAAGATATTTTACTTTAAAAGTAATAGCTATTAATAGCTTTATTGATATGCTCTTTTTTAATTTAGAACTTCATATTCATATATATATATATATATATATATATATATATATGAACTTGCCACTTTATCTTAAAAATATTATAGCAACTAACAGTTTCATTAAATTGCTCATTTTAAGTTGTTATATAAATTTGTATGAACTGGCCACTTTTCACATTTCTGTTAGCTAGTGAAGCAACTTTGTCTTAAATTTTGTATGAACTGCCCAGTCGCTAACAAAAAAAAAAAAAAATTATAATGAAGCAACTTTGTCTTAACTATATTCTCAAACATGTAGACGCCTCCTTGGTTTATATTTGTTGCTCTATCTAATTTAACACTTCTAACGATGACATCAAAATCTTTAACTAATATCAAATCGAAAGAAACTTGTTCCACTCATAACTAACCATAGACCGTATAGAGAAATAAGATATTAATACTATGGTATAAATATAATTGTTTTTCAATAATCACAAAAGTATTCACATATTCTTCAATTTTAAAAAAAAAATATAGGATGCTCTGTAAAATTTACAAATTCATGCATTGAAGAGTTTCCTGAAGGGACGGTCTTTGGCCGTTTCAGTAACAGAATATAACTTCATGAAGCTAGTGGTTGCAGCTTCAGCGGCTGTGGTTAACACTTCCTCACTGTTTGCTATGAACCCAACAGCTGCACCCGGATTAGCGACTGCCAGTGGCGGTGCAGGTGCTTCTGGCATTGCCGCTGCAACCAGGATTGTTGAAATCATCAAGTATACTCTTCTGCTCAGCTTTCGTAAGACCCTATAGCAACAATAGAACAAGTTTCACGAGTGATCTTTAAGTTCTAAATTGGATTAAGAATGCCAAAATTACCTTAAGTTCCAAGATGCGTTGAAACTCCATTGGTGTTCCTTCTGGAAACAGTGCACAATAAGTGTCTACCACTGAGACGATTGGGGATGTTATGACCTATATGATAGTTTTATGAGAACAGAGAGAAGCTATAAAAGAACTTTTTTTCTCAATGGTGTTCAGGCGAATACCTTTAGGACTGCTTCAGCTCTTTTCATTTGATGGTTCACAAATTCGACATAGCTCGCAGTTGGAGTCTGCAATCATATCATTGAGATAAACCAAAACTTAAAGAAAAAACTGACCAGCTTTGGTTTTAGATAGTAATTCTCGATGCTTCAGGCTTAACAACGATAAACAATCTTAAATCTTATATACAGAGTCACCAGCAGAGGCATAGATACATAGATGAGCTAACCTGTCTGGCAAGAGATGGAACTTTTAAAACTATCATCTTCATATCGTGCGCATCTAGCAACATCTGTGAAACCAAAAGACGGATAGTTCATACTCTACAGCATCTGAAAAAGAACTCAGAAACAAAACATGGGAGCGAGATCTTAACCAGTTTTTTACAAAGAAGAAATTGATTATCCTAGCATCAAAATCTCTCTGTTAAGTAAATATATCGAAAATAAGACATATTACTTTAACAGTAACAAATGCAGAAAAGCTGAAAAAAAAAATATCTGATGGCAAACAATAACTAGAACCACCATATTAACGTTTTACTTGAACCAGAGAAGGACCAAATTCAACTAGGTAAACAGATTTTTCACATGAAATACATAGGCTAACCTGGGATAATCAACTCCATGCAAATGGAGGAACATAGAGTACATAGGCTAACCTGGTGAGCTCCAGTTTCTGATATTTGCTTGCATCTGAAAATATTAGCATAGAACCTTGGTCCAAGGGATAATGCCAGCTGCACAAAAGATTTTCAAAATTTAGGGCCACCAATTATAAAGTTCGCCAAGGCTTAATCGCATAACCTGTCACTGGCAATAGCTTTAGACCTTGACTGTTCGAAATTCGAAAGAAAAAAAAAAGTGTAGTAGAATAACAGAGTATGTTCGATGATTGGACTAGCATAAAGATTTTATATGGATTTGGTCATGGCTTAACACCGTAAGACACAAATAATGTGGGTCCTAAACTTGTATAAGGCAGCAATCATCAGACCATAAAGTCACTCAAATCATACTTTCTTTATAATTACCTTGTCGAGGAAAAATGAAAGTAAACCGTTGTTAGAAGGTTTCCAAGGACAAGAATGCTGCTGCAAAGGATTGTATTTATTCCATCGACGTACCTACAAGAATATACAAATGATTGTTGCTTTGTTAGCTTTTTACGAGAAGCTGACACTTTTTGATGATACATGCACCACAAAAAGATAGAAGCTTTATTAGATCTTACTTAATAGAATGGTCACCCACACTCTTAAGTGTGCCCCATGAGATGCGCGTCATGGCTACCATTTCTTTGTCAAATTTAGTTTCCAGTCCGTGAACTAGTGTCACCAATGCTCTCGTTATGACGGATATGAAAATTCATCCTGCACAGCAACCTAGCTTAAGAAGAATCCAAATTTAAGTAACATATCTGGGAAAAATATAAGTCCTTCACGTCAACAGTACCTGGACCTCTGATATGTCTACACCGTCAGCATAAGGCGGGTCAATAATTGTTGAGACTTCTTCTGCCAGATCACCAGACTGCAAGAAAAATAATAATAAGCAAATAATACTTCTTGTTGTTTCGTTAACGAATCCTACTGACATCGGCACACATCTTATATCCGAAACAAAATAAATTGTTTGATATAGAAGCAGTAGACAATATCATTGACAATGTACCGCAAGAGTAAGATCGATCTCTAAGAGTTGCAACTAAACCTTTCACAACTGCAGGCCAGATTTCGACTTAAACAGAAAGATAAATCGGTGTAAGATCACATGACAACAACATCGAGAAACTAGCTTAAAACCAGCTTGGAAACATATAATACAACCCTAATTAATTACTCCGTTGCAAGTAAGGCTACACAAAGGTATCCCATAGATGCTGAAGGTGTCAAAAGTGAAACAAGCTTACTGTTTTGTGACAATACTCTGCAGTATTAACTATGTAACATATCATCCTTTCATCTTTGTCCGAGACCTGCATAGCAGAAGTAAAAAAGGATAAATCGAAAAGAACACATGGGAAACATGAAGCAGGCAGCTACTCTCAGCACCTTTATCCGACCCTCCATGCCTGTGGCTGCGGCAATGATACTGGTGCCTCCTTTTGGGAGCTTAAAACATAGCTTTGTTGCATAGGCTTTCAGAACTCGTTGAAAGACCTGAAAAGGGGAGAGCATTTCATAAATATGAACTTAAAATCTTCATCCATCATCTACGGGGCCGTGAATTAGAGCATTTAAAGTGATCAGCAAACTTTATTAAAGAGCAAGTGTATGCTCTCCTTTTAAAAACGTAGGCGACTTAAAAAGCTGATTCAACTAACAATATGTATCCAAATAATATAAAACATCTAATACTCCACAAGCAAAGCTGGTTCTTAGACAAATTAAGAAATTGCTCGAAATCACGGTACCAGTCTAAAATAGAAAATCCATATTGAGCATATGAAATTGTACCTTGAACAAATTGAATAAAGTCTGGTTCTTGGTGAGAGCACTACAACGTTTCAAGCTCTTTTTTATAGTGAAAAACAACTGCAAACAAGGATATAGTTAAATACTTAAAAAAACTAAATTTGGAACACTACAAGAAATACGGGTATTATTAACACACCGAAAACGCTACAATATCGTTTGATGGCGGACTCATAAACGCTGTCTTTGCCGGAGCTATCTTAGAGGGGGCACTTACAATAGCGCTTTTTGGTCATGCTATGAAATGTCCCTATATAATAGCGTATTGTTTTTGTTATTGTTATATAATTATATAGCACTATATATCGCTATTTATTATCATTGTATAGCATTATTTATTTGCTATTTTATATTTTATAGTAGCGATATTTTATTAATTATTAATTTGTCTTCTGTAACTATATAGTATTGTTATTATTTATTTACCTGTAGCATAATATATATACTATAAGTTTGTATTACGTAACTATGATTTTTTGCCAAATTGTATATATTATGATGTTATGCATTAGGTTAATTAAGTTATAACATCACAGATATAGTTTATCTAGGAATGTTATCAAGTTCTCACTGGCTAATCTAGTAACATTGACATTAAGCACAAAAGATAATCTAGTAAATCTTAACTATGATATTTGGTTTCACATAATGTACGAAACTCTGGTAGAACTTTTGCAGCAAGTAAAAAAAAAAAAAAACCTTCTTGTACATGATAAAAAATTTCTACCCAACTCAGTGGCTAGTGGCTACTGAAGAGTTGTGGGTTCTATATTTTAAGCAAAGAGGAAGATGGCAATCTCTCATTTACGTATCTATAAAAAATTAAAAACAATCCAAGTGAGTCAGTAAATCCACTCATTGAAGATGTATATATCGGCCAAAGTAAAGACTATTAAAAAATCCTACTTCAAAAAGCTTGCCTAGGTACTCACCAGTATGCTGCTAGATAGAATATTAGTTTGACTTTCCTCTTCAATATCCCATATTTCCTCCTGACAGAAAGAAAAGAAAATTAGGAAAGTTGGCATACCTTGGGCGTAAACGCTTCCGTTAAGCAAAAATTCTACATTACCTGAACAACTTTCTCCAGGAGTTGCATAAGTTCCATCTCTTCCTTCTCAATATATTAGGTTAAATGGGGCTCGAAGCAAGAAGAGATCATTCCACGGAAGTTAAACTGCCAGGACAAGTAACTAGTGAGCAATGGCTCAAGTGGATAATAAGTCACTCAGTTTCATAATATCAGTAGAACCGAAAAAGAATAAGCAATGCCAAAAAATTTACCACTTTCTGACTATTATTTCCCCCTCCACCAATTTCCTTAGTGTCATCTCCGAAACTCCCACCACCAACAAATTTCATTTCAAGTTCCATTTCAAACTCTAGCGTCCTTTTCAGTTCCTGATCATTCAATGACATGAAACTTCTAATTGCTAGTGGAAGTACCACGTTATTGTGATAAAAAGAAACAGGATAGAAGTATTTCTAATCATCAGAAATTTCCTTGAGAAGTAAAACAACGCTCTCATAAAATATAAACCATCTGATAAATATAATAAAATTTTCATGTTAGGGTAAAGCATGCCTGACCAGAAGCAATTTTTCTACATCTGGCTTCTCTTTCAGGTTGACTAGAATAGATTCTACTTGCACCCTGGAAAAAAAAAATGTAAAAACGGGATGGTTAAGAAGGATGCACACTGTTAGGTGATGATTAACATTTAATTCTGCGACTCAGTTTTTCACAGCAAAATGAACTAAAACCAGCAAAAGATACAAACCAAAAGAAAAGTATTTAGACTAATAGGGGCATGTCATAAATTTCTTGACAACTCCAAGAGAAAAAGATACAAAAAATTAACCAGAGGCAAGATGTTCATAAAAAAAAACAGGAGGCACTACCTTGTTTTGTTGCACAACTGGATGCATAGTCTATAAGGCACATGCCATGAAGCAGGAAAAATCGTCCATTTTTCTTGATTTGTTCGAATTAGACAATTTAACCGATTGTATATCCGCTCTATTCATCCAACGTTTTCAATTCTGCCAATAAGTAACCACTTAGAAACATAAAAACGCACTTACAGTGCCAGTTATACATAGGGCATTAAGTCAAACATACCAGCTCCTACATAAATTTGTTCATATGAGGTTAGCTCCCTGCTGCAAAAGTTGTTTATCAACTCTTCCCTCACAGATGGCCCCGGAGCATCAATAACCAAGCAAGAATCAGATAAATTCTTTAGCAAAAAAATTTCCTCTGTCTTTGTCCCAGTACCTAAGCTGAGAGATCACAACAGTAGAGTTTGTTTTGAAACAAGTAGATGAGAGTTATAAAAACATCTTTTAAAAACAGTGATTAATTTTTTACTACCAGAAAGAAGCATAGCCTAAATGATTATGCAAGCACTATTCTAACAAAAAGTGAGTAGCGAACAAGAATGAAACTTCGATTTATGATACAAAAATTGCAAATTCTCCAAAAAATCCTCTCGAGGTTGAAGATAAGAAATTTTCTTTAAAATTGGTTTTATATTTGAAAGGCAGTACCTGGAAAAATCAGAAAATACATGGGACTTTAAAATTTGTTTTATATTCTTAATTTTTTCTCTGAGCTCCATAATTTTAGGAACATCCATGTATGCTTCGAAATGATTACATAGTTTGTTTATCGCCTGAAATATATTATAGAGTCAAATCTTATGAATATCATCAAAAAATGGGAAGAGTAATCTGCTAGGTAGTCCACCTAGATAACCTAGCATTGGAATTGATTTTCAAAATGACAAAGAACTGCATTGGGCTCTCATGGTGACCATAAAAGCTAAATAAAGTTGAACTACAACCAACTTAAACTGAACCAAAAAATGAATCAAGAAAAGATACCTCCAGCTGTGTAGCTGCCTCCTTGTATTGCCTTTTTGATGTCATCACCTGAAGCTGTTCAACCGCAGAGACTGCCATAACATTGCAGCGAGTCTCATTAATGAACATATGAACGGTCTACTTGGTCAACTTTAACTAAGTTCATGGCATACATTTGGTTACTACGTGTTTGATGTTGCCTAATGCCTACCTTGGAACCCCTATTTTATTTCAATAGTCTTGGCTATCATTCTAATTTCAGAATAGCTTGACCAGAGTAAATTATTGATAACTTACCTAACATTGTGAGGCGATGAAGGGCAGTGACCGCCGGGTTATGTTCTTCTTTGCAAAATCTAACCTTTTAATGTCGTGGCATATATTTTGAACCATTGCTTCAGTCAGCTCAGCTTTGGATTTGATCTCTTGTATCTTATGAGAGAGTTCCTGTGTTAAAATGACAGACTGATAAGAGAAACAAAAGAAAAAAAATGACATCTTGACAATACAGATCAACTTACGTTTTAGTTCATTTTTTTTTTTCATCTCTTACGTTTTAGTTCAAGATTAAAATATTCGAACTTTTAAGACAAAGGTAAATCTAATCTAGTTCAATATACATGATGTTCGATATGGGCTTCGCCCTCCCAACATCTGAGTCGGTCCATTAAAGAAATAATGTCCTATGCTGACCAGGCAATCAACGCTGATCGGCTTACTCAGAAGAATAGGCCCATTGAACAAACAGTCTGTCAGAAGTCGACCCGTCGGATAGCAACCACCGCCATTACACACGTGTGATCTAATGATCCCATATCGATCCCGAAAAGGATCGAGATGTCACATCACTGCTATAAAAGCAGGTATTTAGCGGCAGATAAGAGACAGCTTGAACTGGCGTGGGAATAAGGAATTATCCAGTTCTAACTCGTAATTAACTAAACTTGATACTTCAACTAGTTAGATCGTCCTATTGTTGTATTTAGCCGATCGGCATTTGAATCTATCTTAATTCTGCTAATCCCTAGTTAAGTTCAATAAGAAGTGTTTTTTGTCCCGATCCCATATTTGTTCTCTTCTAAGCTCGTGTTCAGCCCACGATCATCACATGGAACTGACAGGAGTAGGTTGCCACAAGTTCCCACGGAAGAAGACTATAGACTTCGAATCATATATATGAAAGTTGGCCAAGTCTCTCCATATAAGTGACACATCTTCACACAAAAAATGACATGTGTTATTCAAAATCATTTAAATTAAAATCAGCAGAATTAATTGAGGAAAAATCAAAAGTCTTCTATTGTGTTAAATCCTCCACTAATCTCATTCTTAAATGATTTCTTCAAAATAAAAATAAAATTACAAAATTATTTTAATAAATCAAACACTACTTTCATTTTACTTTTCTTACTAGATTTTAACCCGCGGGATGATTTATTTTTTATACTTAGTATATATAAAGTTTTATAAATTGTATCTTCTTATAATATATTTATGTTTTATAGTTTATAATTATTATCAAGTAACGGTATATCACGAGTTCACAGAACAATAATAAACTGAGTCAATAACTCGTATTAAAGCGGCATGTTAATAACATTTTAAAATTTTATAAATATTGATTCAAACCCGTTCGCCATATAAATCTGTTCCGAAATATAACCCATCCCATAATTTTTTAACCAGTCCCGTGATTTGCTTTCTAAAAGTAGTGATTTTAAAATTTAATAATTTTTTATTATATAAAGTTTATAAATTGTATCATTCTCTAAGACATTTATATTTTAATAAACTAAAGATTGAATATGTATTATAGCGACATGTTAATGATATTTTAAAATTTTATAAATGTTGATTGAAACTCGTCCACCATATAACCCGTCCTGTAATTTTTTAACTCATCCTGTAATTTGCTTTCTAAAAGTAGTAATTTTAAAAAATTTAACGATTATTTATTATAGATAAAAGTTTGTAAATTGTATCATTTCCAAAGATATTTATATTTTATAGTTTACAATTGTTATTAAGTAACATTATACTACGGGACAATTTTTGATTTTATACAATTTTTTCTAAATGAGACTGATTTGATATGACTAATATTGGTTTATTTTTTAAAAAATTAAAGATTTAATCCGAATTGAAACGGTGGATTAATGATATTTTAATCTTTTTATTATTATTGATTCAAAAACCCGTCCCGCCAAACCCGTCCCGCCAAGAAACTCATTTATTTTATTAATGTTGATCTTATTTATGATATGATTCTGAACCATTGTCTAAATATTTTAATCGATGTAGAACATTGAACACACATTTTCGTCAATTGGATAATATATGTCCGTTTTTAAAATTTCGAATCACAGTATATGCAAAAAAAAATTGATAGGAGAACAGTTAAAAATAAATCAAACAAAGATGATAGGAGAATCATAATTCTAAATCTTAATCAAATCTTCTAAATATCTAAATTATTAAATATGTAATATACGGTGTATGAGTTGGGTTAAATATAACCCGATCTAATAAATGTTTTATGACAAAACTTTGGAAACGGGTCGGATATCCAAATAAACCGGAAGTATTTTCACCCACCCGTCACCAAAATGACTGCAAAAATACTAGTATAGATTTTTTCTAATTTTTTTTAATTAATGGTCAATGGTCATCACTCAATAATGACTAAATAATTATTTGTGTTGTAGTTTAATTGTTTGATACCTAATAACTTATTAGTTTATTAATTTTACCTTGAATATTTTCTCATTATTACTTTATTGTTCATATCTTATCATATGTCATTCTCTCTTTTCATTTTTGTGTCTTAAGGTAAGTTCGTAACAATGACATGCAATTTTCTTTAAGAAATGAGCTTTTGAGACATTAGACGTACTACGAAATTCAAGACAAATCTATTTCTCTTATATGGTTATATGCAATAGCATAAAATCTAAAAGTGTTACTTAAATAACTCTTAAATTTTTGCTTTCTTTTTCTTCTTTTCATACGAAAACATTTGAGATCAAAATATCATATATTCTTGTTGTGTGTATTCATGATAGTGAACAAATATTAGAATCTTAGATATAAAAATAATCAGATTATACATGAAAATGTATAAATTGATATTTAGAGTCAAAAGCGAATCTTACCATAAAAATTGCAAGTACATAAGATAAGTCTAATTTTATTAACTATATAATAATAAACAAAAGATAAACATAAATTAGCGACAAAAACAATTAACCTATTTTTTTATCTTAACAATTTTTAAAACAAACTCACGCGTAGCGTAAGAATTCATCTAGTGTTGAAAGAAAGATTGGCGAGAATTGAGTTGGAGGCTCATAAGAGTAAATGGGAGCAAATTTTGTACAAATTTATGGTAATTTGTTTTATAAAACACCATATTTTATACAAATGTTGTCCTATTTGAACCATATTTAGAATTGGAAGTTAAATCTTAATGAAAGATCAGTGAATATGGGAGCTTGTTTGATAGATGACTCGTGATAACATATGGCAATCATATGTGGCTTTAGGTCCCCAAAGTGGTTACTTAGGTTTTTGAATCAATTATGAATTTGCCATTTTTTTAATAGTTTGTGGATTTGCCATTTTTCAAGCAACAAAAATATGATTTAACAGTTAACATTAGTTTTACTCTTTATGTTTGGGTTTACTCAATTCCATTTGTTCTTAGGGTTTAGTATTTAGTATAAAGTATGTATTTTGCAAAATAAAAATAAAATATACATATATTTTAAGTGTTAAAAATGGCGAATCCATAAAATTTTAGTAAAAATAGCATTTTCGTAAAATGATCCAAAGAAAGTATTTTTTCTACAAGAATTCATAATTCTTTTTTATTTGGAATGTAGCCATGTAGCATTACATAAGCGGTTACTTCTTGTTTATACCATTGTATTGTTGAACTCTTTGTCGTCCAAACAAGAGATGCATTGGTGAGAGCTTCACATTTGCCGTAGTGAGTTGTTATCGTTGGTGGGGGAAACAGGGACCTCACACAAATCCAGGAGGTACACGTTTTTTTTTAGTTTTTCTTCTTTTTTGGGTCTATTTGATCTCTCTTTCAGTGACTTAGTAAATCTGAAATATTTCAGATGCTTGTTGTACAAGCTACCCGGGACATAGCTCAATTGGTCCACATGAATAATGAATTTTACATTTCTTCATCCACAAAGATACTTTTAAGTGTTTAGATGAGTTTTCGATTCGCGGTAGTAAAAATGTTGAATTTGGTGTGGGTGCAGGTGGACGAGTTCAAGTGGTGCAGATACTTCTTGATGAACTTTCCGGTCAATTCCAGCAAGATTAACCTCGTCGGCGCTCCATCCATTTGAGTTTCACCACATATTTTTTTCTTGCATACATATTCATTTTGTTGTCACCTTGTTAACAAAATAAATATAAGAACTTGGATTTGAAAAAAAAAATTATTAAAAAAAGAAGGGAAGAAAAAAATATTACAATCGGCTAAATGTGTTTATATATTGGGAAAATGTTTGTCAGCTACATGAAGTAGAAACCAAAAATACTATTTAATTTTGTTTATTTTGTAAATAATTAAAAATAATTTTGATAGATAATTAAAAATAATAAAATAATCAGCCACTGAAACATGAAGCCATGGTTTTTCGGTGGATGATGACGACATGACGCAAGTGCTACACCAGAATATGATAGTTATGATGTTTGCAATATGACTTATGTTAGTTTGTGGATGTCACTATAATAAAAATCTAATGATACATTTTTAAAGTCTGCATGTGTAACTATGTGTTGGATTCTAGTTCGCGTAGCTGACAAACATTTTTTCTTACATATTTTTGTTTGTTTGCATCAAAATAGTTTTTTTTTTAAGAAAATGAAATAAACCACTGACGCTTTTTCTATAAACCTTAGTACGATAGGGAACATAAAACAAATATGTATCACATGTTTTTTTTTTAAGTAGTGGTTAGCAGTTCTTTCCAAGTTCATGGTTAATAACAACTTCACTGTATTAAGGAAACTGTTGTTTAAGTGAAACGCCTTGGTAAATGGTTTATAATACTTCAATTCTTAATCATGGTCAT